TTCTAGAGGGGAGGGGGTGGGGGGATGGGTTAGCCTGGTGATGGGTATTAAAGAGGGCACATTCTGCGTGGAGCACTGGGTGTTGTGCACAAACAATGAATTATGGAACACTACATCACAAACTAATGATGTAATGTATGGTGACTAACATAACAATAAAAATTTTAAAGAGAAAAAAAAAGAAAAAAGTAGAATATAATAAACTATAAGACCAGAGCAAGTGGTCCCAAATAAATAGGATAGGAAGAACTCTAGTTGCTCAACATGAGTACTCCTGAGAGGGAATCTTCAACAAACAAGATCTCAGTTAAGCCAAATCTCACTTTGTTTTGATATTTTTATTTTCAATTGTTTGAGTATCTGGCATTTTCATTGACCCACATTTTCAATTTTTTTTGATACAGAGCGAAAGGCCAATAGATATTCCTTCTTTTCTGTTTACCTTTTTCATCAAGAAAAAAAATATTTAAGGACATTTTTCCTAGGAAGAGAAAGCATTGTGCAGCAGGAAGATGACTGACCCTGAGGTCAGGTCGTGACCTTGGGCCTCTCACTCATATTTTCTGAGCCACGGTTTCTTGACCATTAATCTTGTTTATTTGATAGAAGCCCTGTCTCTTTATTGATAAATAAAGATGTGATATGTGATAATGATACCCATGTCCAGTGCTACTGTGAGAATTGAGTGAGTTAATGTATAGACATATGCAGTATAAATAGTTTACAATTAGACCCAGTTTTGAAACACAGTTGGTATTTTATTAGTGAATAGAAAAAGAAATGCTTATCCACTGATACCTCAATGCTATAAAATATTAAAAGCACAACTCAAAATCTAGGTTATTAGCAGATAAATTTTTTCAAAATATGATTATCCTTAAAGCGTAAATTTTATAAATAAAACATCACATCAGGCATTAGCTTTGATTTTTAAAAAAGGAAAAACTCAGTTACAGTAAGTTAATATGATATAGTCATAATATAATAATATAGTAAATAAATACAAAAATAATCCATTGCATGTATGATAAAGTTCAAATAGAACATCTGGCTCTATCTACCTATACTGTCCACTTCTCCGTGACTTTACCTCCTCATTTGTTTTGCACTTTAGGTCCTAAGCTTCTGTTCAGCATGGTTTTATCTCTATGGAAAACATGGTAATATAATTGCAAACCAATACAAGTATAGACCTATTTTTACTTTTTTTTTTTCCCACCCAGAACCCAGAATAAGATGAGTAGCTTCCTTGCCATTTTTCTGCTATTAATGGTCTTTTCCATCTCTTCTTTCCACTGGGAGGGTAATCCTTTGTGGGTCAGGAGAAAACAGAATCCATTCTAACTCCCTACTTTGAGTTATGTCCAAAGTCTATCTCTTAAGAAAACACTTCTTCCAGATATTCCACTTTGCATCTTTTTGTCAAGAGAGACTATACAATGTCCTGTCTATATTTTTGTGCCGAGAAGGCCTTTCCATTAAATAAAAGGAAAAAACCCTTCTGCCATAAAATTAAAAATTTTATATTTTGATCTTAAAGAAAATATGATTAAAATTTTCTGCCATTGATATATTCACTGAATGTTACAGATATTTAGAAAGGGTCTAACAACACATGAAAAAATGTTCAACATCACTCAGCATCAGAGAAATACAAATCAAAACCACAGTTAGATACCACCTCACACCAGTCAGAATGACTAAGATTAACATCAGGAAATGACAGATGTTGGCGAGGATGCAGAAAAAAGGGAACCCTCTTATACTACTGGTGGGAATGCAAGCTGGTGCAGCCATTCTGGAAAACAGTATGGAGGTTCCTCAAAAAGTTGAAAATAGAGCTACCCTACAACCCAGCAATTGCACTATTAGGTATTTACCCAAAGGATACAAACATAGTGATCCAAAAGGGCACCTGCACCCCAATGTTATAGCAGCAATGTCTATAATAGCCAAACTATGGAAAGAACACAGATGTCCATCAACAAATGAGTGGGTAAAGAAGATATAGTATATATATATATATATATATATATATATATATATACACACACACACACAATGGAATATTACTCAGCCATCAAAATAAATGAAATCTTACCATTTGCAACGACTGTGGATGGAACTAGAGGGTATTATGCTAAGCAAAATAAGTCAGAGAAAGGCAATTATCATATGATTTCACTCATATGTGTAATTTAGGAAACAAAACAAAGCATAGGGGAAGGGAGGGAAAAATTAAATAGTATGAAATGAGAGAAGGAGACAAACCATAAGAGACTCTTAACTATAGGAAACAAACTGAGGGTTGCTGGGGGAGAGGTGTGGGGGGCGGATGGGGTAATTGGGTGATGGGCATTAAGGAGGACACTTGATGTAATAAGCACTGGGTGTTATATGCAACGGACGAATCACTAACCTCTACCTCTGAAACTAATAATACACTATATGTTAAATAATTGAATTTAAATGAAAATTAAAAATTAATTAAACAAACAAATAAATAAAAGGTCTAACAATACAACTGTATTAGTAGCAACTAACAACGGGTGATTCTTTTATTCCATTCAATATCTAGGTTATTGAAAATTTGTCATGACTGCTATCCAACATTACGTACAGGATTCTGATAGGAGTATGAGAACATTGTCAACTAAAATTTAATCAATATATTGCTGAGTTCCAAGTGTTTGAATTTGCTAATAGTATAGTTAGTCCCAATGTGAATCATTGATGTATATTACCTGATGGTAGTGGCAGGAAGTGATGTTAAGCATTTTATGCATTTCACATAATATATATTTTCTGTTCTAATACTAACTGATGCCTAAAACAAGCCTAATCTGACACTAATGAACTACACTCCAGTTTGCCTTCACTTTTGCTCCTACACATTGAAGTATCTATTACCAGAGCTATATTTGTTCACATATCTGTTTATTCCAATTACACTAATTATTGTAATTATGCAATAAAAATTAAATTTTCTAAACTGATTAAATATGAATGTGAAAAGAAAGAAAGGTATTCCTGTGAAAAAGAGCTGATCCTTTGAGAGAAATTTGCTAAAGATGACGTACACATAACATTGTGCTACAGGCATGGATGATGGGATAACTCTAAACTTAGGGGAAAGTTAATATTAAAACCTTAATAGAATTCGCTCTCAGATTGTTTTACAATTATCTTGAAATCCAGGCACCCTATTGAAAGAAATTCAACCTGGTGTTTATAGTGAGGCAATTGATGTGTAGTGAATGGAAGAAATAATATGTGAAATCCCAATTTGCAAACCATTTCGGGAAAAAAAAAAAGCCTTGACCACAAGTCAAAAGACTAGCTTTTCATTTCACATAACAACTTTAGATACATATAAAATGGTATTTTATGATTCTGCACTGTGATCAACATTCTCATTGTCCTAATCACTACTGGATTGAATCAAATCAAGCAAGATAGATTTCACTGTACTATCTTAGGACAACACCCTGTATAAGCTCTGAGTAATATAAAATACATGTTTAGATTATTTTAATTTAACCTCAAAACCTACAGTTATAATTTCTCTTCATGTTGATTTTGTCACCACACTAAGATCTCCCTGGAACTCCAGCATATAGCATTACTAAAAAAGCAACACAATGCCCCAAAGAAATCTTTTCATTCCTATCACCTGAGGCCTACAGAAAGAAAAGAATAGATTCCTAGCCTATCTTCTGTGCACAAAGTCAGAAAGTCTCCTTCCTAGGGAAAGGTTAATAAAATTTGCCCTAAGCAGATAATTGAATCTCTAGAAACAAATAGAGAATAAAACACTAAAAGCAGAACTGCATGGACAAGGGAAAAGAAAGGTCTTGCAACTTGAAAGAAAAATTTAGTAAACAAGTCAATATTTCCTGTAAGAAGAAGGAAGCTAATCTTCCAAAAGTGATCTTACTCATTTTTTATTTATTTCTCTTATTTCGTAGCAAAGACTGAAGTTGGCCGAAAGGACAAGTTTTCGGCTTTCTCATTTTGACTTAACTTGTTTTTCTGGATTCCACCCTTGGGCTCTCCTTGGGGCCCAGCAATCTGGCCCAGTCAGACCATTTTGAAACAAACACCCATGTTTAGAACTCACCGTTGACACAACAACCTGAGTTATGTGGTGATTTCTAAAAGGATAAATAAATCCACCACTTTCCAGATTTCACAGAAGCCAGCTAACTCAAAGCAGGCTGCCATGACCAGCCAGTCTCAGGGGATCCACCAGCTCCTTCAGGCAGAAAAAAGGGCCAAAGACAAGCTAGAGGAAGCCAAGAAGAGTAAGTCTCCATTCTTTCTGACCTATGAGGGATTTGTCACAAAATGGATGAGGCGGATGCAGTGAAATGAGCATGGACCTCTAGGGGCAGGCAGACTCTGGCTAAAACTCTGGCTCCACCATACTCCCTCAGAAACATTTGGCCAATTCACTGAAACTACCCAGTCATATGTCCCTATGGCCGTAGTGGGGACGAAATCCTCTAACTCAGAGCCTTTGGAGAGGTTATGTGCTAAATGAAATGATAATGGACACTGAAGTGACAGGGAGACATGACCTTGAGTCTTGTCTTTGCAACTTCCATAATGTTGCCACACCTCAGTTTCTCAATATTGTGAAATGATTAAGAGATAGACAACTTCCAGAATGAATCTACTTACTAGCGAGAGAACTTGAGCAAATTACTTACCCTCCATACACATCAGTTTCTGTTTCTGTAAAATTGTGATAATTAACATTTAATAGCTCATTCTCATCCTTCTTTTAATGGCTTTTAATTTCCAATATTTTAATAATATTTCCACTTTATTCTCACTTTCTAACTTTCTTTTTATTTAGTCATACATCTGTATATTAGCACAGAATGTTCTCAATAAAGGTCAACCCCCTTCCTACTACCTTTGATATTCACCACAAAGATATGAATGAAATGTTACTATTATTTCAATTTTATGTATGTAGAAACTGAAGTTCATTATTTGCCAAAGGTCATATTTTAAAAATAGAAAACACCATGCAGGCACCATATTTAATTCTTACCTTATTTACTCCTCACACCAACTCTTACTGCAAAGACAAAAGGTGATGTTTAGATAAATTATGCAGCTTGCCCAAGGTCCTACAGAGGGTAAAGGGTATAGACAAGATTTGGACGGAGTCTGATCCACAAGCAAGGATTATAGCTGTACTCTACAAAATTTATATAATTTTCATTATGAATAAACTAACATGTTGTAGATCAACAACTGAAATTCAGGTTCTCTGGGCCAAGACCTATGTTTTCTCCACTATCTCATTTCATATCACATCATTACTTAATCTATAATAATTTGTGCCATTTACCTTCTTCCTAATTATATGTCTTGCATCTGCAATTTGATTCAAAGTTCAGCAAGATAGGGCCATGTCTTAAAAATGTTGCTTATGTGACTCTTGGGATGAAGATAGTGATGGGAATAGAGTAGGTAGTGACAAAAGAATGAGATGTGGGAACAATACATTATAATGTAAGAGAGGAAGCCAGGAGTGAGGCAGTACTCAATCTGCTGGGTTTTTGACCACAGGTAAAATCACTTTTCCTTCCTAAGTTGATTTCCTGAGCTGTCAGCAATGTAGGAACCAACAACAGCAAAAGGAAGACTCCATGTGGAAAGACCTAGAAGAGAAAAGGAAGGAGAAGAAATTAAGACAAACTTTACCTACTTCTCCATTTCTTTTTCTATAACAAACCATGCAAATGACTGCAAAATGGTAGGAATGCAGAGTAATTTGATAGAAAACAAAGCAGTCTGGGACCTGCTGGTTGAAGCAGGGTAGAAAACTTCCTTATCTTTTATTAAAATTTCTTTAGCCACATTTAAAATTTCCAGAACAGATCAACTTATTTTAAGATGTTTTAATTACGTTACCTTTGCTTCCTTATCATGGAAGAAACAAAATGACAATAATGGGCACATTAATCAGTATTATCATATGATCCAGATGATTTTTACCAACTGTGGGTCTTTTCTCAAAGCCAATAGAGAAGAAAGGCTTTGTGAAACATGCAAGATGTTTGGAGGAGAGGACCACTCAAAACTACCTAGACTCAGATTTATGTTTCTGTGTATAAGTCATTTAGCATCTCTGAGTTTCACTCTTCTTTTTTTTGATAGAAATATAAGATATATATGATATACATAAATATCATATATATGTAAAATATATATAAGCTATATATATAAAAATATTACATACATATATATAGATATATAAACACATACATATATAAACTTATTTTCCTTTCCACTAATGAATATGCTGTCCTTGGACAATCTTTCCTCAGAAGTCAATATTGGAAAAAGTGTATTATCTTATTTTTATACAAAATGTTCATTTTATTTGCCGGTAACTTAAAGTAATTGTGTACTTTCTCCCTTGGTCTTCAGTCATAAATATTCAAGCAAATATTCAACCAGTAATAGTAAACACCCAGGCCTTAAAAACATGTCAGAAAATATTTTTCCAAATGTAATTTCCACAACCACCCTCTACCCTCAATTTTACAGAGAATGTCAGTCTCTCCTCTTTGCCTCAGAAAGCACAGGCTTTGAGGACAGTTTTCACTAGACAGAAGCTGTTTTCTTACAGAGGTACCAGCAGCTAGCAGTTTGTGGTTACAATTTCAATTATTGTACCCATCATACTTACTTCTTAAGCATTCTGTAGCGAAATAAAATACTACTTTTTTTGCCTGGTATTTTGTAACTTCTTTCATTTCACTAGTTTTATAATTTATTGATTAATTTAATAAGTATTTATTGAGTGCCTACTCTTTCCAAGCCACTTTGGTATAGACACTAATGAGTAGACCTAGACTCCCTTAAAACATTCTAGTGAGATAAATGCATAAACGACCCCAAAAAGGAGAAAGGAATAATGACATGAGAGGTATAGATAGCCATCATTTTTATAAACCCAAATATTCCACTTTTTTTTCCCATAAAGGGATTCACTTGAAAATATGACATATGAAGGCAGAAGAGTTTCAGATAAGAACCAATAAATCACAATAGTGAACACCATCATGGGAAGTCTATGATCACTTTCTCTTTCTTAAATCCATTTATTTGAAAGCATCTCAGAAATTTGCTCATAGAGTCTCTGCTAGAGAAGACTCCTGAATATATATCTAAGAGAAAGAAAAAGAGAGGGAAAGGGAGAGAGGGAAGGACATAGAGGGGAAAAAAAGAAACCAGCAATTCACATATTAATCATTTTAGAAAAATGCAAGATTAGTAAGATGGTATATTTATATATTATGCTGCAAAAATATTAATATATTCCATTAAAGGGGCTGCTTCAGATCCCAGTGAAGTTGTTACATAATACAATATACGGTATAAATGTTTTGCCTTAAGGGATATAGATAAGGGTTTATAGACCTGATATATCAGGAATTCTCCTGAAGGCTGTTAGGTCTGTGGAAATGAAATATATAGGTCCCTACTCTCAAGACACTCACCAGCTACGAGAGAACACTGTGGCTGGGGTGGGGTGGGGGGAGCTTGTGAATAGACTCGAAAAGCTGGGATGTGAGGCAACAGAGTAGAAAAAGCACTGGCTTTTTCTTATGTTTCTGTGTATAAGTCATATAGAATCTCTGAGTTTCACTCTTTTTTTTTGGTCACTCTTCTTTTTTAATAGAAATATAAGATATATATGATATACATAAATATCAGGGTTATATATATGGCCATGATGTTTTAAGGACCAGAAAACTACCTAAGAGTACAATCAAAAAAATTATTTTTAACTCACATAATATGTATACTTGAATATTATATAAGTTATAAAAGTAAAGGAATGGAATAAAAGAATAGGACAAACCAGTTTCATTTCTTTTTACAACTGCCTCCACTTCTGGGTCAGCTTTTCCTGTAATGAGGGAGACTTGGACTGCTTCTAGTAGATGGCTGGTAAAGTGCAGGTACCTGCCTCTGTTCACTGATTACAGATTAAATTATATTTGTTAGGTTTTTTTTAAGGTTTTGTTTATTTATTTGAGAGAGAGAGAGACCAAGCAGGGAGGAGGGGCAGAGGGGGAGAGAGAGAGAGAGAAGCAGACTCCTTGATGAGCAGGGAGTCTGAGTCGGGGCTCAATCCCAGGACCTGGAGATCATGACCTGAGCCAAAGGCAGATGCTTAACTGACTGAGCCACTCAGGCACCCCAATTGTATTAATTAGTTAAGACAAAAAAATTTTTTATGTGCAAAATAGCCTTGCTGTTTGGTTAAATTTAGATGGAATCACAGTAGGTTGGCACTATTTTAAATTACCTTATTCGAAGTTAACACTTTCGCCTTAAAAATTGTTCATTAATCCGAACATAAAAGTGAGTATGTTGGTCCAAGACAAGTTACATTTTTGCAGAACATCAGACCTGTCCTGGAGTTCCAGGTGTGGGGAACTGAACAACTCCCATCAGAATTAGATTAGAAATTCAAGATACCATCATCAATAGGAGGAGCAGAGACTTATATTTCTCTGAAATATAAGGCATTTTTACTTGTAGTTATGACTTTTTAATGAGATCAGTATTAATTCCATTTACACCCTTACAAACTTGAAAAACTCTACAGCTCTTTTGAAATGCTCAAATGCACGTGACTCCACATCACATAAAGAACGAATTATTTTCAAGGGTGAACCGTAGCCTGTCTCACAAATAAACACTCAATCTGTCTACTTTGGCAGCTGCCAAAAATAGTGTTTGTGTTTAATTCAAAATTACAACTTGCATGACGGGATATAGATCAAAAGATGTGATAAACAATGTAAATGTTCAAATCTGAATATGAGAAAAACTGAACAAGCAGGTATATTTAAAATGTTCTAAAAGCAATAGATAATCTTAATAAAAGTGAAGGACATACCCAGAATTTTCTACCAAGATAGAAAATGGTCACTGCTCAATTCCTGGAGCTGCTATGCCTGGTTACAAATCCAGCTTTTGCCTCCTACTAGAGGGGTGAATTGGCCAGGTTACCTTCTAAACTCACTGTGATTTCCTCAGCCTCAAAATGGAGGTAACAGTATCTACCTCATGGAGTTGTCATAATTCCCAGAGTTGATACCTATAAAGGAGTTAAAACACCTCTTGGCACATAGCAAGTGCTCAATAAATGTTAGCTATAGATATTCTTCCACTACTTAATAAAAAGAATTCTGTTGAAAAATACGGCAAAATAACAGAGTCCCATTGATCTCTTAGGCACAGTCTTCTAGGAGGACCTCATTGA